ATAAACTGAGTATAAACTTTTATTTATCTGGCAGATTTGCTGAGTATAAACTTTTATTTACAGGTGTGAAGACATGCATGAAACTACTATGTGCTACTATCTTTAAAAGAGGGATCTAGGGTGTCAAAGAAATCAGTGTTTTGTCAAGAAACTTATGTACCAACTTAACATCATGTCATGTAAAGTTGAGGCCTCTTTTCCATTCATTGCAAGAGCAACATAACCTTTGCCAGTGTTTTCAACCAATCGTCTTTCTCCCCCACTTTACATGGAAGCATGGAATCATTCACAGTGAACTTGTGAGTTGATTTTGGCGATAAGTTGAAAGTGGCATGAGGGTGCTGAAAGGGTGCCGGGAGAAGCCGACATGGTGCTGTGGGCACTTGACCTGGTAACACAATTTTTACCTAGGTCTCTGGGCAATGGTGTGTTGGCTTGATAATTTCTGTTTTTGATTATTGTGTGCCAGTGTGCAGTTGATAGTAAATAAGATAGTTTGTAGGGGTCTACTCACCACTGGATTTCAGTTTAGGTTAAAACCTGGAAAATATATGCCAGGCAGATTATAAATTGTACTATATATAAATTGTATTATATAGGAATGGCTATAAATATGGCTATTAATTGTCAAATAAAATCACTTGCAGCTCTGGCGGAAATTTTTGTTCAGTTACTGGTCAACTGAACTCTGTGTGTAGATTCTACACGGGATTCGTTCTCCTCCAGGTTGAGGCGATGTTTATCTTCTAGTTGTTCATTGTCATCGTATCGCAACTGTTCTTTCTTTATCCACCAATTGACTTGTTCTTGAATTTCCTCGGTGGTTAACACTCCACGACGCCGTTCCGTTGGATGCGATCTCAAATTGAACAGAAATCATGCTATCCAAGCAGTTATCCTCATCGCTTTCCAATAGCTATGTTTCTCGAGTACCCCGTACATCACCTCAGCTTCTCCGTCCATTGCACAGCTTAACACTGCTCTTTAATCCAGCTTCAATTCTTCAGATGACTCAATTCTTCATTCTTCTTCTTCTTCAATTCAAGTCCTGCCCACTGAGGTCCTGCCCATTGAACTATAAATAAACTGGAAGGCTAACTGCTATGATGAAGGCCTATGATTTGATGAAGCCAAAATAGTTTTTCTGAGTTATGAGCAGAAATACTTGACCCCAAACGTCAGGCTATATATCAAATTGAAGCTATTGAAAATTGCTATTCGGTGTGGAAATTTCAAGACTTCAGCGAAAAGAAAAATCTTTAAAAAATACAAAAACAACTGCAAAACGGCAAATTATCGGTAATTATGTTTGTAGTTTTTCAATATTTCCCTTTTAGCTAAAGTCTTGAAATTTCCACACCAAATAGCGTTTTTCAATAGCTTCAATTTGATATATAGCCCAACGTTCAATGTTGAGTATTTCTGCTCATAACTCAGAAAAACTAAAATACACTGGCTTCAATTTCCCCCCCTGAGTTAGCCTTCCAGTTTATTTATAGTTCAATGGTCCTGCCTCCTCCGCAGGCCCTCGTTGCGTCATGGGAAGGTCACGATCACTGAGCTATACTATATTACTGGAGGACCTGCTCGGCATCATAGAGATTATAAGTAACACTAGAGGAGGCATTGTAATCTTAATTCAGTAAAAAAAAGGGAACGCGACTATTGGGGGGCAAATTCAAGTCCCGGATGTGTATTCGTGTTCCCATTGGTGACGAGTTTCAAATCAGCCAATGAGAGCACGATTTTATATCCGGGACTTGAATTTGCCCCCCATTAGCTGCGTTCCCAATTTTTAAACTCGATGCCTCCTCTAGTGTTATTTATAATCTCTATGCTCGGCATCATCAAGTGAAGCCGAAAACATGGCGGCTATTACGCCATTTCCATGACAACACTTACTTTATTTTCATGGTAATTGCCACTGACCAACCGCGATCCTAAGCTTTCGAAGATGTCCTTAACCCCCCTGGTTTTTGCATAGATATATTATTATATCAATGAGATATTTCAAGTTTTCTGTTGTTTTTGAGCAAAAATCTTAATATTTCCCTCGAACATTACTTGTTTTACAACGCGGAGCGAGGGTGCGGGTTTGCTTCGCTTGTGGATGCAGCATTTCACTACAAAGAAAGATTAATTCTTTCAGGTAAGATTCACGAAACTTTTTTTATAACTTTCTAGACGGCTAGAGTCACTATAGACCTTCATATTATGTCAAAAACTCATCATCCTAATATATGCTGCAAATATTTCAATAGGGGACATAAAATATTGTTAACATTATGTTGTTTTGTGTCAGCACTGGCCTTTGTGGTTTGCCAGTTTTTAATTTATACTAAAAATTGTGGTTGTTTACTTGTTTACATGTTCATATACAGAGGTTCATATATTTTAAACGAATATATATGGTGTGAAATTTATATACTTGCCCATCACAGTGCAGAATTAGTATATATAGATAAGCACAAGACCAGAGAGAGTTGAGCCATAGAGGAGGCCCACCTACATGTGACAATGCATGTGCCCTGTCCTGATGAGCCCTAAAGACTGTATTATTTTACTCTGTCTAATGCCAAACAATTTTAAGGGGATTGAGATTGCTCCCTGCTGCCACGCAGTGAGTTAATTACACTATTTGCAAATGAGCAGCCCCTGAGATATACAGGGTGTCCCCAAAAAACCCGGAAACTATAGAAATCACTTATTGTTAAATTTGAATGCCCTACCAAACAGCTGGACGTAATGATGCATAAAATATTGACAAGGTGCATGTATTAGAATTTAGTTAGGAATATCTCCTAGTAAAGTGCGCGATTTTCTGCTCCTGGGAATTAAAAACAGCTTCTTAAACAGTTTCTTTATGCATAAAATTTACTTCTGTCAATCATTTATGCACTCGTGGGAACCAACAGAGCGCTAAGGCATTCAAATTCTAACAATTAAATTGTTATTGGTGATTTCAATAGTTTCCGTTTTTTTTGGGACACCCTGTATAGTCAGCCCATTAAGCTGCAATTAATCCTGGCTACTTTCTTATTTCACTCAATCTGTGAGATTAAATCCAGATGTTTTACTCAATACTCATCAAGGGAAGAGTCTTAAAAATAGATATCATTTTGCCATTGTCTGTTCAGAACTATATAAAACTATATAGTTTTACATGTACAGTATATGTCATAGTTACATGGCAAGAACAAAAATGTTGCCCACAAGCTGCCGGGACTTAAGTGAGTCAATGATACACTAATCATTTAGATCATGAGGTAAATTCGGCATGCCACAACATGTCTAACAAGGGCAGATTTTTATTTATTTCACCACTCAGTGAACTTTGGCATGGATTAGGTGTTTGAGTTGTTGGCCTTTCACACAAAATAGGAGGGTTGAGGCAGATTTTGGTGGGGTTGAACACTTTATTAGAGGGGTTTAACCCCCCCCCCCAAGTAAACCCGCCCCTAATTTCTAACATTGGGAGTAGTGATGTCCGATTGGCCATGGCACGGCCTGTGAGAAATTATGATGAAATTTGCTCATAATAGTTAAGTTTGACATATTTTAGCAGTTAGTCAGGAATGTGATTGCATTCAGCTGAAACATGACACTTAATGTTGAAGCTTGGATCAATGGTCTTGGTAAAAACAGATCATGTAATTGCACTCTCCCCTTGACTACTAAAATTGTCTGTTAAAATAATACAGTGAGGCATATCAAGAGACATTGCCACTTGTGAAGGGTTAACATATGTGTATATGATATTTTTATGATGTAAAGATGTATAATGTATCATGATAAAAATGTCATCTTTTATTTTGCAGAAATTATATGTTTAATATACACAAGAGATGGCACTGAGGCATCAACATGCAATACCATGCATAACAACATATATAATTATATGATTATGATAACTTTATTGAAGTGTAAATAAATTTTATAGCAATTAAATTAAAATAGATTTATTATACATTTTTGTTTTTCAAATTGTTTACTGCTAATAATTTTACAAAAAAGTCAAATACACCCTTCCAGAATGTATTTCACCTTGGCTATGCAGCCTCATTTGCACTATGTGGCATGAGTTAAAGTCCAATGTCTCAATCGTGAAAATGAGACTCTTATAGCCAAGGTGACATAATTTCTGGAAGTATGTATTAAAATACAGTATGTTCAGTTTCCAAAGATATGTGTGGCTTGGTACTGTAACTCCAAGGTGACATAATTTCTGGAAGCATGTATTAAAATACAGTATGTTCAGTTTCCAAAGATATGTGTGGCTTGGTACTGTAACTTGCCACCCAGAAAAGAGTGTGTCATTGTGGAATAAATCTGCAATAAACAAGAGTAGATTAATTATCTAAGTTGTACAAAAATTCACCAGTAACATAATTAGCATATGATCAAGGTAAACAAAAGAATGTGACCTAACACAGACTCAGCTTAAACCAGGGGTATCAGAACTATAAGTACACTTATATTTACTGAGAAAACTTGTAAGAAAACAGGCCATCCTGGAAATGAGGCCTTGGCACGCACCTCAGCTCGCACCTCAGCTAAACCTTGTTACCTCGGCTTAGGGAAAAGTGTGATTTATCTGAAGCCTCTATATTACTATTATTGACACAAAATAGAGAAGTATCGGCCCCAACCATGGGGAAAACTAGGTAGAAATACTAGAAACTACCTTCCCAGATCAGTTTCCAGCACCCTTAGCTATTTAAGTGGTACATATTACAAAACCTAATTCCCTTTTCAGTATGAAAGATAGCACATCATCATAGTTTATGTCTGTTTATAAAACGAGACCTTAGGAGTCAACCTTTTAAGGCTTTTAAACAATTTTTAGACTGAGACTGCAGGACAGTTCCTCGTATATGTGATTGTGTCGAATCACAGCTTGCTAAAATAGTGGGAAATTTTACACTTTACCATGTGTATTGCATAGGAAGTTGTTTTATTAACAAATAGAGTGTCAGTTTCATCGTTATGCTTATCAATTTCGTGTCAAATATAAGTCATAAAGGTAAAGTCTAAATATTAAAAAATTGAAATATGAAAATTTGTCTCTTATCTTTGTAAATCCTCGTCTTTTCCCACATTTCTTGAGGTTTTAAATTTGTTTGTCGTCTTTCACGAGCGAGAATAACACCTACAACTTGCATATCTTTGTCCAAATAGTCAAAGGTAGAAAATTTATATCGAAAAAATTTTAAAAACCGATTCAAAATCACGAGAACTATATTTTCTGCAAAACCTTTTTGCAAAAACCAGGGGGGTGTGAAAACAGCCGTAGGCTCAGAATTGAGCCTGGTCAGTGGTACCTACCATGAAAATAAAGTAAGTGTTGTCATGGAAATGGCGTCATTTTCACTCAAAATCCGCCATTTTTTTGGCTTCACTTCGTTGACTGAACGAAATATAGGAGCAGGTCCTCCAGTTATTATACAGCTCAGTGGTGCCCACGCTCGTGCGTTATAGAAAACATTAGAGTCAGCAATCTAGGTCTCCTATATCTATGGCTATTAGTGATAGCCTACTAATAGAAAATTCAAAATGGCGGAAAATTCGCGTTTTGCACTTTTGCCGAAGTGTCTGATGATTTTTTGGACGACTTGTTGAACAATTCTGTACTAAAAAACCCCGAAAAAAAGCAACAAAAATATGGAATGGCAATTTTTAAGGGTAAGAAAATAGACAAAATAACATACACTCAATGAAATTTTAAAATAAAAACTGAATTTTGTAAAACACTTTACGCGAACAAAAAATAAAATATTTGTTTACCTTTAATGGTTTTATAATGTTTTTTTGTGTATTTTTGTATTGTGTTTGCAGCCTAGTTGTAAATTAATGTTAAAGTTTATACTAAAACAATTAGACAACTCGGCCTCGTTGTCCATGAGCAAATAGTCAACTCGGCTTCGCCTCGTTGACTATTCGCTCATAGACAGCTCTATTCCAATACTGTACTTAGCCGCGAGTAAAATTCACAACGGGAGTATCTCACAACTTGTCAACAATTAAGATGTGTTCGCAATTGTTCGCAACAGGTTTGTAGCAAGCTTTTAACAAGTTGTAACGATGTTGTCGTTCTGTCAGTTACGTTGCTACAAGTTTGTCATCCACAACGTGTTCAGTGACAACTTATAAAAAGTCTGTTCAGTTTAACAACATTGAAACAAATTGTCAACAAGCCGTGCATGTGGACAAGCAGTGTGAATACATATCTTGATAAGAGATTGTCAGTGAAACAGCATTGGTACAAGTCTGCTTCAGATTTTCTGCAAACGTTTTGCGTTTTTACGTATATGTATACCTGTAAATTGGCTTCTTGCAATTGCCATTTTTTTAATCAAATTAATTTAAAACAAGGCATTTTGTCAGTGCGCGAAATTATGCGAAATTTTAACCTCTTAGATCTTTATTCTTAATACTGTATATCCTTTTAGTCAATTTATTCGATTCTGATTGGTTAAAAACCGTGCCGAATAAAACCTTAAGGGGGGGGGGGTACACATGGAATCATTTGAAAAAATGGATTTTCATTTTTTGAGCTAAATAGTTACTGTGACATGTAATTGATGTTGTGAAAGTATTTATTTGCTTAAATTTAAAAAATTGTTCTGTCAGGAGCTGTTTTTAACCACCTCACTATAATTTTCAGCTTGGTTGCCATGGTAACGAAAGGCAGAATCCTTCATATTTTTCATGTTTTTACCAATATACTGCTGTCCCTCCCCTCCCTAATATAAAATAATGATACAGGCTCATCTCTAGATGATTTTGCAGCGGATTTACGTGGTGATTATGCGCATAGATGCGTTTTTTTGAGAACTAGTGATTGAAACAGAACAAACTCGAAAATGTGTTTCAATATATTAATAAATATTGATCACTTTTGTGTATATATTTCTTAACATATGGTTAAACATAACTAATAATGGTTCACAGAAAACATTAAAACGAAACTTTATTCATTGGGATGAAGAAATGCGCTATAAAGACGACGATAAAACGTGAACACATTCAGGCAATAATCGGGCATTATTTCAATGGGCATTCAATGCCAAATATCAACAGTCATCTTCGATTTGGATTCTTTGGCATCTTATAAACAGATCTTCAAACGTTTGTTCTAATGAACTTAAAAGTTGTGGATCTAAGTATTTTTCTATCATTGAATGATTGATTCTAGTATACAATAACTCAAAAATGTTAATTAATAATATAATTAGTAATTATTGTAAATTTGCAATATTATGAGATCAATAGATCGATTTTCTCTACCCAATTTTGGTACAGATATCAATACATTATTTCTTGCTTCATTGCTATAATTTTACTATTTTAATGCTTCTTGGTATTAATATTAATGAGGTTGTTTCTGTACTGCATTTTAGGTACTGTAATTACATGTCAAGGTGTACCAAGTTTGAGAGCTTGTTTTGGGCCGAATATGTTTACCGAGTGTACCGCTTGCAGCAATAGCACAAGAATACAGTTACAGACAGTGTTATCTTACAAAATCATGTAATTTGGTATTGAAAATTGATTCACGTATACAAAAAACTGTGGTAAATGTTGGTCTGCATGTTCCTTTGGTAAGCACGATGAGTGGAGTGTGCATCTCTAAACATCCTTGTTACCAGCAAGAGGGTTCGGTAAAGAAAACTATGGAAAATTTAGCTATACCAATAGCGTCATTTAAGTTAACACACAGGAACATCTTTTAAACCAAACATCAAACTGCAGGAAAAACTAAGTTTGCTTTTAAAAGACAAGAAACAGGTCAGAAAGTCTAACTGCCAGACATCTGAAAAAACAACAGACGTCGACAGGTGCAGCAGCTCCAAAAGAAAACCGAGAGACGAAGCTCTATGAGAAGCAGAAGGGACAACCTATGAGGCTGGAGGCTTTTGAAGTGCTAAAAGTACTTCTAATGACAAAAAAATTTGGCTAAAGTCCCTGAAACCTGTCAGGAACAGCTCGAACAGTTGTTTAAGAACTTTAACACTTGTTTTCTCGGAATGTACATTTTCCGTCTTTGAGAAAAGATATCTCATGATGTATTTAACCAATTGTCCTGAAATTTTCAGGGCTTATTCTTTTATTACAGCTGTCTTAATTAAGCATAGGAAATTTCTGTATCTTGTGTGGAATACATTTTATGACAAAAAATATTATCGAAAAAACCTATGTTAACTTTGTACCTCTGCTGTGACCACTAGATTTATCATACAAAAAAGTTCTATGCTCATTTAAGATAATGATGCTTATACTACTTACTGATAAAATTTCTTAAAATTCCAAGCAATTTATAAGCAGATATCTTTTCTCAAATTCACCCTAGTTTTGCACAGCATGTGGTATGATTGCCGGCCTGGTGTCAGGTTACAAAGGACGTTAGGTACTAGTGATTAGTATTTTTAGTTTCTATAGGTCATAAGCTTTCTACTGATATATAGTTTGTCATAACTCTGGTGAATATCTTTAAAATTACAGCCATTTCAAAAATGGCCATCAATCCATGTGTACCCCCCCCCCTTAATATATGCACAGTGTGCGTATTAAGGATTAATGGATGTAGATTCATATATAGGGTAAGGTTATGGTAAGGATAGGGGGCTCAAGCATTGCATTCATATAAACAGCGAGACATGAATTTATAACCAGATTAATCGGCACGAACACTAGCCCGCGTGGATTAAACACGGCGAAATGTCAAAATCTAAATAAACAACTTGAAAATTTGTATTTTCCGCATGAGCTCTTATTTTGCAATGAGCTTTTTAAATATAAATAAATATTAAAGAAAAAGAAGAAATAAAGGTTATTCACAGTTTTTTACAGCCAACAGGTATGAATTGAAAATTAATATCAGAAATTATACTCTCAAAAATTGACAAAGGCGCGTATGGTAAAACAATCTTCATATAGCTTACAATTTCGATAATCTTCAGTAGAATGGAAACAACCTTCAAGGACATTTTCAAAGGAATCTAAAAGTAAATAAAACATTTTAGGAGTAAAAAAATCCGAAAACTCCACCGCAGTCGAAATTATGGATTGTTGACAATATTTACCTTGACCTGTTTTCCTATAAACTAAAAGACCGCGCTGTAAAGACTAGTAAAGACCTTTTCAAAATCAACTTGTCAACAACTATGGTTAAGATGTGTTCGCAACAGGCTTAATAGCTTGTAGCAAGCTTTTAACAAGTTGTAACAATGTTGTCATTCTGTTACAGTCGTGCCAATAGAAGCGTTCCGAAAAATGTTGGCCAATTCATTTCCTATTAAACTTGAAGGAACATCTCCGAAGAACACGTATATGAGCTGTTCTGCAATCTGATTGGTTGAATTATTCGCCGTATATCAGCTCATAAGCCTCATATACGGCGAGTGGCGAAAAACAAGATGGCAGTCCAAAAACTACATGAGTTTTGCGAAGCAGAAAAAAGGAAAATATTCGCTTTGAGAAAGATAATAGTACAAGGAAAAACTCTCAAAAAAATTTAACAGATCAGCAAAATACATTTATTACATAGAAATTAATAAATACAAGTTTTTTAAAGAATTAACGAAACAACAGCAAAAAAAACATGTTCATTGTCCATTGAGAATATAAATTGTTCAGAAAAGTTTGCAATGAAAGACAAATGAATATGCAGTCAACAAGCACTTACTATACTACCAAACATCTGTATAATATATCTGAGCTTCATTGTGAGATATACCGGTTCTAAAACCATTTCTTTCGCTTCGTCTTCGAGTTGTAAAACAAACTGAGTATTTCAAATTTTCAAGGCCAAGCGGTTTTTGGCCGAACAAATTGTCAAGACATTGTAACAGAGGATAATTAATTATTACTTCAGTTAATGGCTATTAGGCCATATTATAAAACAATTATACCATTCGCTCTCGTCGTATATAACGGGCTGATAGCCGACTCGGTGCTATACAATATAGTTACTATAGTGCTACGCACCTCGTCGGCTATCAGCTCGTATACGATTCGAGCTCAGTCATGGTATAATTGTTAAATATGCGTTGTATGTTCTACTCATACATCTCTGCTATTCACTATGAAACAGTTAGAACTTTATCCTACCTTAACGTATTTCTTCAATATATATAATACCAGATCACACTTTAGAGCCACCTGCCAATTGCTCAGACTGTTACTTTGTTACGTTGAAGTTTACGCCCATGTATGAGAAGAAGGGGGCAGCTGGCCAGTAAATTTGAATAAAAATTTCGAATATTGTTTTGACATTTGAAGTAATTCAGTCTTAACATGTATTTAGTAACCAAATTCAACAATTCTTCAATAATGCGAAAGTTTAGTTTTACGAAATTCAAGCGATATAAAGATACGAGATTTGCATGAAAAACCATCTTAAAATATTTTTCTTTAAAGGCTGACTGAACAAATAATAGTGATTTTACCAAAGTAGGCTAGGAATGAAAAAAATCCATGTCAAAAATTACAGCTGCCAATGGCATGCAATGTGCATTTCGTTCTGTATTTACACACGACATCATCAGTTGAATCATAAATTGTGTTGTTTCAAAGACGAACGCCTAGCTTAAACGATGATGAAAATTATAAGTGATTTATAGTACATTGACTGAATGCATAAAATACCGGAATCTTAATTTTCTGAAGTTATTGTGTACTTTGCTTTCTGCTAAGTAACCTGTCCTCGAAACTGTCTATATCAAGTCATTTAAAAGTTCACTTACAAGTTACAACAGACTGGCAAACTGATGTCGTGATGATAAATAAGTCAAGTAAAGTAGACCATCTTAAAATATTTTTCTTTAAAGACTGACTGAATAATATAATACTTGGCACTTGCTGAAAATTATAAGTGATTTATGACACATTGACTGAATGCAAAAAATTTTCTGAAGTTACGTCTTATGATATTAGAAAACATGCTTGCGTAACGAAATGAAGAAGCCTCGATGTATACAGACCTATTTTTTCTATCCTAAGTCGGGTAAGGCTATAAGTCGTGGGCTAAGAATAGTTTGAATGTATTGTTCATATTTTGGGACTAAACAAGTTTCAAACTTTTTCGTGTAGTGTGGTTCTATATACTCTATAGAAGCAAATTTAGAATCTACAGAATTCTTTCATAACCTATAAAAATTAAAGTTACGCGCGAAATATTCGCATTTTGGATCAGTTATGCTAAGTATATGCTTCAGCTGAGCAAAAAAACGTTGTCTTTGCTCTCTGCTAAATAACCTATTAGCTATTCTCGAAACTGTCTATATCAAGTCATTTAAAAGTTCACTTACAACGGTTGGCAAACTGATGATTAATAAGTCAAGTAAAGTAGACCATCTTAAAATATTTTTCTTTAAAGGCTGACTGAACAATATAATAGTGATTTTACCAAAGTAGGAATGAAAAAATTCCATGTCAAAAATTACACCTGCCAATGGCAATGTGCATTTCGTTCTGTATTTACACACGACATCATTTTTGAATCATAAATTTTGTTGTTTCAAAAACGAACGCCTAGCTTTAAAAACGATAAAAGAGAACAATTTAATTAACTTGCTGAAAATTATAAGTGATTTATATAACACATTGACTGCATGAATGCATAAAATACCGGAATCTTAATTTTCTGAAGTGATGTGATATAAGAATTAGTATAAGAAAACATGCTTGCGCAAGGGAAGCCTCACATATCGATTTTTTCCACGAGAAACGTCATATGTTCGTTTGGAGGGGGGGTTGCAGCTGTGACGTTTCTCTGTAAACATCATGGGAAATTATCAATATTTCATACAAAAAAAAATGTTTTGAGAAACGTTGGAAATTTTGAAGTTCATATATATATTAATAAAAAAGATATGTCAGCAGAAGATGTCATATTCCTGATCCTCGCGTAAGCATCGCCAATAGCCGACCCTAGAAAATAGTAGAAAATTACCTTATGTGTACTATAAGAACAAAATATCGATAATTATGTGTGACGTTTCTAAGGGGGTGGCGTCTCTCCAGAGAAACGAACATATGATGTTTCTCATGGACAAAATCGATCGGTGAGGCTTCCCTAACGAAATGAAGAAACCTCGATGTACAGACCTATTTTTTTATCTTAAGGCTAACTCTTAGGCTAAGAATAGTTTGAATGTTCATATTTGGGACTAAACAAGTTTCAAACTTTTTCGTGTAGTGTGGTTCTAGGCCTTCTAGAAGCAAATTTAGAATCTTCAGAATTCTTTCATAACCTAAGTCTAAGACTAAGTCAGTAAGAATAAAGATTAAAGTTACGTGCGAGATATTCGCATTTTCGATCGATTATGCTAAGTATATGCTTCATCTAGGCAAAAAAACTTTGTCTTTGTTCTCTGCTAAGTAACCTATCCTCGAAACTGTCTATATCAAGTCATTTAAAAGTTCACTTACAACAGATGGCAAACTGATGTTAAATAAGACAAGTATTAGATCAGGTGCTCTTTCATGCGCATGCATGCTTGCAAAATAAATGCATTAAATCTATATTTTTGGAAAAATTTCAAAACATCTAACGAAAGTATACGTAATTTTTTTAAATCAAACCAACTATTTTTCTTGCCCCCCCCCCACCAGTACAATGTTGGCTCAGGTAAAGTGGAGTTAGGGGGAGAAGTATGAAAATTCAAAAGTCTAGGAATTTTTTTCCTGGTCAGGAATGTAGTTGTATTTCTATCCAAACAGGGTTTAATAATGAATTAAGCTGATCATAATACACTGGTACAACGATATTTACAGAGTTTCACATGTGGCTCCTTTTTCGGTTACGTTATTTCAAAATTGGCTAGGAGTTTTTCATGAGACCATGTCCTGGAGCAACCTCGTAACGAGGTTGGTCCTGGAGCTGACCGGCTCAGGAACCAAATATAGGAAACCTTTATCATCTATCTATGATAGATTTTAGGTGCATGCATGCAATTGTTACGGAGTTATAGAGTATAGTATAGTATAGTATAGTATATAAAAACATTATATGTTAGTTTCTCAAGGCAAAGTAAACATTACGCGCGTCAAAGGAAAGATAAGGGACATTCCTTGCTACTAATGACAGAAAAAATAAATACCATTTCCAACATGCTCAAATCACCTTTCCATTAGGAATTATAGCTACAAACGAAGCATAAATTCTGGTTATCGCATTGAATTCAAAATATCGCGATTTGTCAGTGGCTCGCAGAACAATTATTTGCCAGCTCTGCCTTCGGCATGGGCAAATAATCGATCTATTCGCCACTTGTCAATCACGATATTTTGCTCAACCTTGTTCAATAATTGTATATTATCTTAGTAACATTTTCGCCCTATTTAACAGAATATTTTAGTCAAATATTTACCACGCCTAGTTGTTGGGCTGTCTAGCTATGATTAAACTGTTGCCTTTGTTACTTTTGTTTCAAGCTAGTGCTGTATTGAAGTTATAGCTACATTTGACCCGGACTCTACCGTGCTTGTTTCGATGCATTTTCTTAATACTAGAACTAAACCATGACTAACGTCTACGCCATAGTTTATATAGTAAAAACTGTCACAAATAAGTACTATGAAAACTCCAGCGACTGCAAATTACTGATCAGCGGGCGATTATTATAGAACAGACAATGGTGTCCACGAGAAACAGGATTGTTCCGAAGGAACCAAATACCTAGAAAAGACAAAAAAATGGATAGATTTGACAATGATTTTGAAATAAAATCGAAACATCACCGCACATCGTGTTTTCTTGACTTGTAGCAAAGCCTGTCAAGATATGATGGTGTGGAAATTAAACAGAAATCATTGTAAAATGTTTTTGTCTGAGTTTATGTTAATTTGTGCACAGTCACGGTGATTAAGCTCATTGTATAGCCTGCGAACAGGCTCTCAAGCTGAATTGAGAGCCTGCATCGATGACTAATGAATTTGAATATCTGCCCCGTAACGTTCGTTTTTCCAAATATGGAATGTCTATCCTTATATGGTGTTGTTTACAACTTTCGTGCAAACTAAATTTAGACCATGCAAACTAAATTTAGACCGTACAGTTTATACTGTTTTTCGAAATATAAGATATTGAAGCACAAGTTTAAATGTTTTAAATACTGTTTTCTCAAAACAGAACATTTCGTGCTTTGAGATAAGATGGCCAAGACCAATTTGATCAGTTAATGTGTTTTTTATGCATAGTGCTAGCAGTTGACATATATATATAGAGCTCAGCGGAATAATATAAATTATAGCATCTGCAGACCAATGAGAATTTCGCGTCACGATTTGAGACGCAGATATTCAAATTCATTAGTCATCGATGCAGGCTCTCAATTCAGCTTGAGAGCCTGTTCGCAGGCTAGCTCATTGTATTATTCATTGTACCATCGAATAGGGCAACCTCGTTCCCAGGCTCTTTCCTAGCTGAGATGAAACTTGCAACCACGTACGATGAATTATTAATATTTAATGAAGTTGAGACAAAGCCGATTTGTGCACGCTGAGGTACAGTTCAACATCAAACAAATGTCTTCTATTTTGTGGCTTTGAAATTTTCCGGGCTGGAAAGACCATCATATCAGACAGACTATGCTTGTAGATACCTCAAATCTTGACAGTACGTACAACTGACATGCTATATTATTCGGAGGATGTTTCATATTATATTACTTAAAGTTGTCAGACTGAAAACAGATTCTATCTTATCTGAGTTAGCCTCATGGACTTTTCATTTCCGCTGTCTACAGAGCTTTAGTAAAAATTGACGATCTATTTTTGGCAGATATTAAGATAAAAAATTGATAGCAACAACTCGGAACGGAGAAAAGTCCCGACTTGCAAATAATGAACTTACCACTCCAGCGGTTAGTTGACTACATGTGAAATCATGATTTGCATCATCCAATAATTGGCAGTTGGATTTCTTTTTGCCAACGGTGCTAGAAAGGTACTCTACTTTTTTCTCTAATGTGGCCAGGGTTTTAGCGAGCAGAACTGTTGAAACCAGTAATTGCAGTGTCCAAATTGCATGTAGGACAACCATCTAAAATAAAATTAGGTGTCATATAGAAATTTTGGTTAATACAGGGCCGTAGGAAGCTCTCTTTGATTGGGGGAGTCTCTGAAATGCCATTTCCTGGATTTTGGGGAAGATTTGATAGAATTCTGATGGTCAGAAAACAGCGTTTTAGTATATCAAAATTTACAATTTGGTACTATTAAAAGGGCGAAGGTGTATTTAATTAACTATATATTGGATAAGTTGCAGGAAAGTGTGGGTAATATCTTCATTCTTTGCAGTTTGTCATGGATAATGTAGCCGTTGAAAACTAATAAAGCTTAAAATTGATAAAGGTCTACATGATTGTGAAAAAAGAATGATTATTAAAAAATTATTGGGAGCTGCAGCCCGGTTGCTACGGCCCTGTAATATTTTGCAGGCGCTACTGTGTCTCATCAGACTGAAGGTAAAGCAGGTGTTACCGCGTCTCATCAGGAAGGCAAGGCGTGGCAAGGTACGGATAAGGTAACTAGACAAGTGAAAGAAAGATAACTGGAATAAGATAAATGGCTCCTCAGAATATTACAGCAACTTACAGCGAGTGTTCTGCCTTGTTTTTCTAGCAGCCCAGTAATTGATGCCACAAACGAAAGAATTGCTATAATCACTCCAACAGAGGTAGTGTACAAGAAAAATTCGAATCTTCCGTATTTACCGATATCATAAGGATCTAATGCGCCGTCCCTCATGTTTTCTTTTACAACATCGTGGGTTTCCTTTAAAAAGTGGCCCACAGTACCAGTTGCCACTACAAGTACAACCTGCAAAAGTTATATTTTTGAAGACTAAATCAGTGTGATGAAGAGATTTCAAACAATATGGTTGCATGGTCGATGGCGTGGAGTATTCAAAAAATTATTTCCAAAAACTAGGGGGAGGCTTATCTAGGGAGGCCATGAGGCATGGACCACCAGAAGTTTTTCATTCTAGGGTCTCAAACACGATTTCCTGCATTTTAAGTGTTCAGGGTTCACACGTCAGAATACCATCCTGAATATAAGGAAAAATAGCATTACTGCAGCGTAAATAGCAGCGTCAATATGCACGCAAAACGGATTATATAAAGAAGAAGTTTGCATTCTTTCACTCAGTTGAAGATACCTACAGTATATAATTATTAAAGAAAGTGTATTGATGGTGTTTGCGGTTAATTTAATTTAATTTTATTTAATAGTTATTATTTTTCTTGTAACTTGATACTGTTTCGCCGGAGTGAATCATAGCTCCCCCCTCCCCAATCTTCATCTTACAGTTTCAATAATCTTTAGTACAATGGAAATAATCTTCACGGCCACCATGATGATGGAATCTAAAGGTAGAATTTTATGAATAAAAAATTCCGAAATCTCATTAGCGCGACTGAATTTATAGCCTACGATTGTAGACCAAGACTGCATCATCAGTTCATGGAATTTTGAATAATGTGCAACTTTATTCAACATGTGTTCAAACAAACTGAACAATGTCAATGTAGGTTACGTGGCGTCCAACAATGATATGGATAATGTTGAAAAAACTCTTATCCAAACTCTTGCTTATGAACTCACATGCTGCGTGAGAGTTAGAAAGAGACAGTTGGTATAAATTTCCTCAATTTGCATGGCTTGATCAAATGGCAAGAGTTTCCTTGAGAAATGGCAAGAGTTTGCATGCAGAACGTTTTCTAGACTATCATGGTTCGGTCAGACTCACAACTATACGCACAAGACGGTAGGTTTTCGTGATAACGTTCGCTTGTCAACGCCTATCAACTTTTACGGATTTCACGAGAATTGAATCGCTAACTCTTTTATGTGATGACTACAATTATGCGTATAAGTAAGAAAATGGTTTTACATACCTGATCAGTTTAAATTTTAAGCCTGAGATTCTAACTTTATATGCCGGTGATGTTTTACAGTTACCTGTTGTTCGTTTGAAGAACAGTGAAATTATACATGGCACGGAGTTCTAGGACGTTTTGTTTTATATTGGCATTCGGCTTTAACGGTAATTTGCATATACTACCTGCTGTTACAGCATCTTTCTCTATAGTTAACTTAGTTGGAAACTACTGTACAATACCTCAGCATCGACGAAAACGTCACTGTGGAAAATTTGCCATTTTAACAGGAGATCTGCTGCTGCAGGAGTAATGTAAAAAAATGCTGTTGCGGCAGAATTTTGGGGCAGAAAAACAATGAAATTGTTAATGTGGCAAGTGCTGTAGCTGGTGGTGACCAAAATAAAAATTAATAAACATTGTATTATTGTGTCACAATAAATAGATCAACTTAAGTGCAGATTTCTGTTATGCATGGATGTATGAGCAGATAGTGTTTATAAATGTAAGTGCATGGTCCGCAATATTTGCGGCAGGACTTAAAGCCGGCGTAGTCGCGTGGACTTGTGGCAGCCCCTGAAGCGTACTTTCATTATGGAGAAAACGCATACAAATACCTGCGTCAACACTATTAATAGCGTTTCCAGACCGTAGTTCAAAGTCGTAGAATACCCTTCAGTACGATACGGTTGAAGCGGAAAACTGGCTTTAGAAAATGATATGTTTCAGTCATTCCTTATTTATTCATTTCGTCGTTGATTATGCAAATATTTTATAGGGAGAAGCGGTGGGAAATGTACACAAGGTGTCCCAAAGAATGCCCCCTCTGTTGTTGGTGAATTACTATTCAATTTGGGACCACCCTGTAGAATAGAGAATAAAGCAAATCGTTACGGATTTGTCTGACTTACAGTAGTTCCTCTCAAGCCAACTATTCAACTGATGACACCAAAACACTGAAAGAAGACAATCTACACATGGTAGTGTCTTCATTACATCATGCAACGTTTTTGAAAACCTAGTCCGTTTTGGCGAAAAAAAAGCTAGAACAGAAAGTTGTTGCGAATTTCCAACCACCAACGTCATTAACCGTATATCTTTAGTGGGGCTTCGGTGGCGTAATCGTCAGAGAAAGCGCCTTTCACCTCTGAGATCGTGGGTTGGATTCTCGCTACGGACTCCCGTGAAAAGAGTCAGTCAATGCTCTGCCGAAAGTCGTGGGTTTTCTTCGGGTGCTCCGGTTTCCTCCCACAGGGAAAGTTGACAGGATGGGTTAGGATAAACACATGCAGTTAATAAAGTAATATCACAATTGTTGCTTGTGATGTTACTCTGAGTGTATATCCACACCGGGCAAGCTTGAAAAATATGCCTGACCACGGTGGGAATCGAACCTACGACCTTTGGAATGCTAGCCCAATGCAATGCATGATTAAAAATCATGATTATTATTAGAGAACATTGATATCGAAGGAACTAGATTCTGTTCCGAAATATCACATACTCGAACCGACCAGACCGCGTAGCTCAGTTGGCAGAGCATTGGGCTAGCATTCCAAAGGTCGTAGGTTCGATTCCCACCGTGGTCAGGCATATTTTTCAAGCTTGCCCGGTGTGGATATACACTCAGAGTAACATCACAAGCATCATATTCACCTGAGTACATTACACCAACACAGAAAAATCACAATTGTTGTAAGGATAAATAGTCTAGGCTAAGTAAATATGAAATTAGGTAAGCGTATATAATACTTGACATAAAGTTAAGCGCATTTGCATGAACATATCCACATTTAACTATGCGCTATGCCTATAGAAATGTTGATCTTAAGCCCTGGGCAAACTAGGAAACATTGTTGTCGAAACATTTGTGATTCTCGATGTTTCTTCAAATGTTTCCCTGTTTGCCCAACCGTAGAGACATTGTTGCGGAAACAAAATTTGCTTCCCGAGAAGCAAAAATGTTTCCTACCAAATTCAGAAACATTTGATGTTTCCCTATGTTTCTCACTAATGTTTCCTAGTGTTTGCCCACTCTTGGAAACATGGCAAAACATTATTTCCTAGTTTGCCCAAGGCTTTACTTTATTTACACTGTCGCTTTATTATCCATGCCAACTATATGAGAAGTCCTAAACTACAATGTACACAAGCATGCACATCGCTACTCGTTACATTTTCCTAGCAAGCGTTTACATTTCGAGTTTTTTGAAAAGTCTTTGTAGGTTCTTTATCGAATTTATGCTGGAGCACCTGCACTGGCTTGTGGGCCTGCTGAGGCACCTGTTAAGAACATACGGACATGAATGGCCGTGTCGACAGCATACAACACCGTTCCAATAAAACCTAAGATCTAGAATGACATATTAGAGCATTTATTAAATTAAATCATAGTTAGTATGTAGAATGCGTGGTTTGGAAACTCGACAGAACTCGAATATGAATCACATGAAATTTTAATGTAATAAAGTGAGAGCAGAATGAGTAGAAGTGAGATTTTTCGCAAGTTGGTAAATAAAAAGCCTGTTTTAAGTTTAATTCATCTTCAGTTAATGTGCAAACCATTTGCTTATCAAAATACGAACTTCTGTACGGTTATTTGCATAAAAGTTGCCCGACCTCATGCCCAGATCAAGGCTATTTTCTCTCTCACTCTGCTGCAGGCGTTCAATTTTATATGGGGGAGGGGGGGGGGGGTGATTTTCAGCGAGCAGGAATTTGGCGGGCACGCAGGCTAGTGCTCATGCAGCCTGGTCCACCGCAATCTCGTTCCCAGAGTATGCCTGTTCGCGGATTCATATGTATTGGCATAACCCACGAAGAGGCAGCATACTCTGGGAACGAGATTGAGTCCACCGGGAAAATAAAAGGTGCATATACTAACTGCTGTCAGTGCTGTGTGACCAGATTTTTGCAGCAGTTACACAGCCAGAAATCTCACAGGCCTGTCGCAAGCTGTTGAATTTACCGGCTTGCGGCAAGTTGTCAACAAGTCGCGACAGGTCTGTTGGTTTCGTCAGGCGGTAACAGGCTTGCGGTAACAGGTCTGTCGCAAGCTGTTGACAACAGAGCCGTAGCACAGAATAGGAAGTTATACCAGAAGCGTAACTCTAGTCGTTTCCCTTATTGTTTGACGTCCACGAAAATTTTTAACTCGCTCACGTCAGGCCACGCCATCCTGGCTAGTACAGCCGGAAGTTTTTATCAGGATTTGGTAGGTACAAAGTGCCGGTTGTACTAGCCAGGATGGCGTGATTGATGACGAATCGCTTGTAAAAACGCGGACAAATATTTGCTCGAGTTACGCTTCTGGTATAACTTCCTATTCTGTGGCCGTAGCGACTTGTTGAAACAACCCGCTACAAACCTGTTACTAACAAGAGATAACAGGTCTGATAGAACAATTTGCAGCAAGTCTGTTGAAATCAACAGGTCTGTTACAACCTGTTCCAACAGACCTGTCGCGAGTTGTTTTTGTCAAGTCTGCAGCAAGCTTGTTATCAGACCTGCGACAGACCTGTCCACAACAAACAATTTTTGTCCTGTCACAACAAGTTTCAACAAGCCTGTTGTAGGGAAACAAATCGAAAATGTGAGTAAAGAGATATAAAATCGCACGAAATGGACACTTCCGGCTTCACTTTCTCATTTAATCATTGTCATTGGTGGCAATATTAAATCACATAGGAGAGATTATACCCTGGTTCCAGAGGTAGTATCTATTCTCTGATTATTTACATAAAATGCAAAAGCCGCTGTTTTATTTTTTTTAAAAAGTTCCGATTTCCAAAATCCAAATTCCAATTTGCTGACGTGTGCTATCGCTATATTTCTTTAATCTGATTGGATAAACGCGTGTGCACACGTCATCATTCCTCGTTGCAATTGGGCGAAATATTACAAACATATCAATCACGTAATCATGTTTAGTTGTTTTTCAATTTTGAGCCAAACAAAATTTCAACAACTGCCTCAAACAAAATCAAACAAGTTCAAAGCTGTTTTGATTTTTGAAGAAACTGTAGCAATGAGAATACAAGATCTAGAGCTTAAGAAATGAACAATACATGAACAACCGAGTGTTCACTGCAACGTTCGTCATTGCTGACATGAACATGAAATTCGTTTAATATATAATTTCTTTCCAATTTCAAGTGAAATCTGCGGGCGAGGAAGACGCCTTATTGAAGCTTTGTGTTTATGGTATGTACTGTTTTGAAGAAAAATATGCAAGTAGGTTGTCATATTTCGGTCGTACTTCAAGACAAATAATTTTGAAAATTGTTTACGATAAGAACCTTTCTTGAATTTGTCGTATTTTTTCGGCTGTTTTGCTCAAAAATTATCTCGCAAGTTTGTTTATAAAACTTTACATTCATATATAAAAATCATCTCGCAAGTTTGTTTATAAAACTTTATATTCATATATAAAAATGATCTCGCAAGTTTGTTTATAAAACTTTATATTTCAAACTTCTATTTCACGAAACACTACAACCGAAATATGGCAACCTGTTTGGCCGTTTTTTGTTCAAAATAGTGGATAGACAAGCTTCATAAGGCGCTTTCCTCGGTTTGCGACAGGCCTGTTGAAAACAGCATTGCTGCAGCTCTGTCACAACAGCTTTTAACAGACCTGTTGAAAACAGCATTGCTGCAGCTCTGTCACAACAGCTTTTAACAGACCTGTTGAAAACAGCATTGCAGCAGCTCTGTCACAACAGCTTGTAACAGACCTGTTGACAGGCCGTTGCAGGTCTGTCAGAACAGACAGGTACAAGGCGAGCGAACGCATCCAGATATCGGCTTGTTGACAACAGGATTTAACAGATCTGTTGCAGATCTGTTCCGACTTGCGCGTTTCTGGCTGTGTAGTACTAAACTTAATTTCACCCTCCCCCCGGTTTGATAAAAACTTGTGGTAACAATATACACACCACCAAATGAAGATCAAAATGTATTGGTAACCAGCTGCCTCATATAGACACGTAAAAAAATTATCAACAAGATGTGTTCGCAACAGGCTTGTAGCAAGCTTATCAACAACTTTTAACAATATATGCTGTAATTTTGTCAAGTTGCTACAAGGTTGTCACTCACAACTTGTTGACAAATTGTTGAATTGCAGGACGATAACAAGTTGTTGGAACAACTTATATCAAGTCTGTTGAGCTCAACAACCTTGTAGCAAGTTGTCGACAAGCCATTGACAACTTGTCAACAAGCTAGGAACAAGCTGTGCAGACATATCCTGTTGACAAGTTG